GAACTCACAACACAGTCGGAGGTCCAAACGCAGCCGGTGATCCAGTCTCTGTGAGCGTGAAGGAGAGATTTAGAAAGAGCAGCAGGAGACGAGCTGACGTCCCAAACCAGCAGAGCCTGAAACACAGGAAACATTACAAAAAGTGCAAAAACAGGAAGAAACTAAAAGCTGAATTAAAGGCAGGTACCTGATCTTTTGCACCGGACAGCAGCTGCGATCCATCTGGACTAAAAGCCAAACAGGTGACTCCTCCTCTGTGACCCCTCAGCACCTCGTGTGCAGCGATCGACGAGGCCTGATTCAGATCCTTCAACAGCCACAGCACAACGGAGAAATCATCTGTTTGGAAAGAAAAACTAATTAGAACAAAAACTCAGGTGCAGGATTATAATTACTCTGAGAAACTGACCCGAAGCTGCAGCCAGGTAGGTGGAGTTCTGCACCAGAGCCAGGATGGTGTCCGTCTGCACCCCGAACGTCCCCAGAGTCCTCAGGCCTCCCATCGTTCCCTCCTCTCTCCTCCACAGCCTCAAACGTTTGTCGCTCCCTCCAGAMACCAGCAGCTCCGGCTCGCTCTGCTCCGAGTCCACAGAAACCCACAGCAGGCAGGGGACGGACACGCCCAGGTCCGGTGTGACCCACGTCTTCTCACCTAAAAACATAAAGAAAATAAAATAAATATTTTATCTTTGCCTCCAACTACACGTTTGAGAACAAACTAGTGAAAAACACCTTTAAAAACCATGAGCATAACAAAAATCTGCTAAAATCTCCTTTAAAGCACAAAAAAGACATTAATACATAAACATTTAAAAACAGACTGGATATTTAAACTCTTGTTTTAAAATTCACATCAGAGTTCATCCTCACASCTGTGTTTCACCTGCCAGGCCGGCGCCGTGCCAAAGTTTAATTTTAAATTAACGTGACGTTTAAACCCACCCGACTCAAGGCTGAAGAGTTTGATGCCGTCTCCATGGTAACCCACAGCGACGCAGTCTCCGTTCACCGCCACGCAGAGCGCCGGCGCCTCCGACGTTACCGACTTCAGTTTCTTCTGAGGCGGCTCCAGATCACACTAAAAACGTAAAAATTAAACATTTTCAAAGCTCCTCGCCTTCATTTTGATGAACGTTGTTGACGCCTATTAAAAAAGTTTTTATAGTTTAAGTTTTAATTTGTTAAAAAACAAGATTTAACATTAAATGTCAAATTTTAGCCTTCAGGTTTGACCTTTTAGTATAAGCAAAAAATTAAAAATGTGAAGCTTATAAAAGACAAAGATTTTAAAAATAAATAAAATAAAAGTAAAACCTTACGTCGTCACTTTTTAATATTGCGACTGATCGACCAAGTCCTCCTGACCAGAGCTTGAGCTGTTTTAACCCAGAAAAYAAAAACAGATTATCCATAATCTCTAAAAAGTTCTCRTTTAATCTGTACATTGTYGCACCTAACCTGCATTAAATGTTATTTTGTCATGTGTTAKTCTCATGCAGAGTATATCATAAATCAGATCACCGTGTGGTCGGAGCCGGCGCTCAGGAGCATGGCTCCTCCCTGCAGGAAGGTCAGGGCCTCGGTGGCCCCGCCGTGAGCCTGGAAACATCCCACGCAGGTGGAGGTGTGCACCGACCACACCCTCACCTCGCCGGACACCGAGCCGGAGCAGAGCATGGAGGAGGGGGAGAAGGAGAGGCTGCGCACCGAACGCTGGTGACCGCACAGGGACTGAAGGAGCACACATATACAGTAACAACATATTTAATCTTGTTTTTTTTTTATTTACCCAAATCTACAATCATGTCGACCAAAAAACAACTGTTAATAACCCAATATTAACTTTACACAAAATGATACAAAACCCCTAGAAACTTGTATGTCAGAGCATAAAGCAAAAAAAACAAAACAAAAACAAAAAACAACAACTTTATTTCACAATTTTAAACCATTTTTACTGACTAAAAAAAACAGAATTAACATATTATTTAGGGGTCATATTATTAAAGAAATCTATATAATCTCCTCTCTAAACAAAAAATTTAAAGGGATACATGATTAGTTGTAACATTAAACTTTATTTGATAAACATTTATKTTAACTGTCAAATAAAGACTAAAAGTACTGTAGGCTGTTTAGTTTTGTAAATTTTAGGAATATATTTTAACATGGACGGAGCCATTTTATTTAGACACAAAGCATTCTGGGTAGATGATGACGTGGATAGGTCCTCGGTGYGAGGCTGCTAGCGAGCTATATCCACCCTGAAGGTTAATCTTGGACAATATCTGATGATCGACTCTTTTAAATGAAACCAGAGAGCGTTGACAGAGAGGAGAAGGTAGAAATGACTCAGCCTGTAACTGAAAATATGGATGGAGGACAACAGAGCTGCTTCATGGAAGAAGAACCTCAGCTTAGCCTGTTCGCCTTTGCGCTAGTACCGATGCCATATTGCCTCATATGTATTAGCTCGGTGCTAGCGCGACAAACAAGCTAAATTGAGGTCCTCCATCCATATTTTCAGTTTCAGGCTGAGTCATTTTTGTGTTCCCCTCTCTGTCATGTGGATGGAGGACCTCAGTGACGAGAGGAGAATGTGTAGCGCTGAGCTGATAGCGTTGGGGCTAATGCTAAAGCTAACAGGCTAAGCTGAGGTTCTTCTTCAATGAAGCAGCTCTGTTGTCCTCCATCCATATTTTCAGTTACAGGCTGAGACATTTCCACCTTCTCCTCTCTGTCAACGCTCTCTGGTTTCATTTAAAAGAGTCGATCATCAGATATTGTCCAAGATTAACCTTCAGGGTGGATATAGCTCGCTAGCAGCCTCAATCCGAGGACCTATCCACGTCATCATTTACCCAGAATGCTTTGCGTGTAAATAAAATGGCTCCTTACGTGTTAAAATATATTATTTAAAATTTACAAAACTGAACATCCTACAGTATTTTTACAGTCTTTATTTTACAGTTAAAATATATAAAGTCTAATGTTACAACTAATCATGGATCCCTTTAAACATAGCTGATCAATAAAGGACAAACATGCCGATTGGTGAGAAGACCACCTAAACATTTACAATATACTAACTCACAGTCATTGTTTTATTCTGGAGCCAGTTCCACACCACAATGTTTCCGTTCCAGCAGCCTGCAGCCAGCAGGTGACCCTCGGGGTCAAAGGTCACACAGTTCAAAGGGCTGGTGCTGGGCARTGAGGCCACTTCATGACCTTTAGCAGAAGACCACACCTGACCAACAAGAAAGAAATTAATCATGAGTGGGACTCAGGGTTATTATAGTTAACTAAAACTAACTAAATAACGAAAAGTAAAATTGAAAAAACATTTTAGTTAACTAAAATATGTAAAAACTGTAATAAAATGAAAAAAGGAAAACTGTATAATTGTTTTTAAAAAGACCGTTGAGCACAAAACAAACTGGTAAGATTCTTGAAATACTAGATTTGACTCAATTTTTTTCTTATTTCAAGAATCTTACCAAGTAAAATTTTCATACTCTATTAGCAGAAATTTTTGACTTAATTTGAGTCAAATTTTCAGACTAACAAGACAAATAATCTTACACATTCTGAAAACAAGATTATTATTCTTACACAGTCAGTTCTTGTTTAGTGAATCAGTCTCAAAACAAGATCAAAAAGACTTTTTGGCTGGATGTAAGATGTTAAAACTTGGTAAGATGGACAGTTTTTGCAGTGCACATAAGATGGCTAACTATGACTATCTTGACACGCTAGCTTCTCTCAGTAKCTCCCATGAAAAACAAACAGCCGGTAGCACCAGGTTGGAGACATCTATTATCATCGTCCTAAAATAAATGCCCRAGTCCTTTTTTTTTGGCAAAATTGAGTTACGCAATGATTTTAGGAAGGTGTCGCTATAATGGACGCWTTAACTAGCGACCAAATAGCTGCTGGTTAGTGAACTCACAGGAACATCACAAGCTGGAGGATGCATTGGCAAATATGTTTATTCAAACTATAAAAAAACTAATACTAGAACTAATAAAGACTAAACCAAAACTAAGCATTAAAAATGCAATAAAAACTATCAAATCCACTGTAAAAACTAATTTAAACTAACTGAATTAAAAGAAAAAAGGTCACAACGAAATTAAACTAAACTATAATGAAAAATCCAAAACTATTATAACCTTGGTGAGACTTTTGTATTTCAAACAGCGTTTTAAAGGATTCATTGATAAAAGTGAATATTTCTTGGCTTTAAGATAAAACAGATAAAAGCTCAGACAGGTGAGACTAACCTTCAGCATGAAGTCTAGAGACACAGTTACGAGGTGTTTCCTGTCTGGGCTGATGTCACTCGCTGTTATGGTGTTGGTGTGGCCGTGGATGAGAGCAGTCCTGCACAGAGCAGCACGGACATGAGTTAAAAGTTACGCTCTGTTATTAAACTCCACTGACTGGAACGCTCCTCTCACCTGCAGCCGTTCTCCACATCCCAGACCTCGATCCGTCCGTTGAAGGAGGTGGAGGCGAGCCGCCCGTCGGTCAGAAAGATGCAGCTGGAGATGCCGTCACAGCTGCTCGTCAGAGACTTTATCTCCTGAAGGAAACGAGAATAAAACCTCCTGATTGGTTAAAGCTCAGAGGAACAAAAAAGAAAAAAAAAAAAAAAAAAAAAAAAAAAACAGGATTTTGTTTTTCTAGTTGAGAGGAAGTGGTTTTTAAATGTTCCCACCTGTCCGGTCTGCGTGCTCAGAACGTGCAGCGTTCCCTGCCCGGTACCGACGACCATCAGCTGTTTGTCTGAACTCAGGACCAAGCAGGTTGGTTCAGAGGAGAAGGACGACACCAGATCACTGAAACAAACAACAACAATTACAAAGTCTATATCTAACACTGCAAACACGACCGACAAATGAGCTCTACCCCTCCATCACATTAAAATAAAACCACATAAAATAATCATTACCTGATTTCTTGACTGATTTTAGCGTCTCTGTTCAGACACTCGACGACTCGAACTCCTCCTCCTCGTCCCACCAGACCTTCAGCCCAGACATGAGCCGGGGTTTCTGGGGGATCGTTGAGCGCCTGCTGGATGAAAAGCGCCGGCCAAGCTGAGAGCGTGGAGGCGTGGCGCTGCAGGAAACCACGRCAGTCCTCCAGACGGTGCTGCAGCTCCACTGAAAGAATGAAAAGCTGCAGTGAGGACCAGAAACACCTTTTAAAACAGAAATTATGCATCTTTTGTTTTTAAATAAACTTACAAGTAGGGGGCGATGTTTGCTCCTTTTCTACGAGAGGCAGAATTTAACAGAAACATTAAAATATTGTTTAGTAACAATAAATTAACTTCAGAGTGTTAGTTATAGAATGTGTGCTCACCACACAGCCTGTACGTCTCCAGGAGGTGCTGCAGGAGGCCCAGGCTCACGTTAGCGTGCAGGAAATAAAAGTTTGAGAGCAGAGAATGAAGCGCCTTCAGTTGTCCGCTTCCAACCTAAACGAACACAAATGAAGGAGATCAGAGACGAAACAAACCAAAAAATATTTGAGGACATTTAGTGGAAGATTTCTAACCAGGCAGGAAGGCAGCTGCCTGACCGAGTCGGCCTCACAGTGAAGGAACGTGTCTTTTCCCTGAGGGTCGGCCGTCGCCCACAGGTGACCTGATGGATTCAATAAAAAACGTTYTCATGCAGGAAACCGTCGTTATGGAGGAGAAAATAAAAAGTTCTCTACCTGCCAGAAGGAAGCGGGCTCTGCTTCTGTCGCTCTCTGTTGGGAGGAGAAAGTCCTCAAAGGCTYGCTTCACCTCCGGGTTGTTCAGGGTCAGCAGGTCGTCAGTGTTGTGGCATCGGGACGGACCAATCAGGCTGCAGGAGAAAATGTCATTTATATCCCAAAAGTCTGACAAACAGTTACTGCTGAGACTACTGGTTCACTGGTTTACTGTTTGTTTGTTTACTTATGTTTAATTATCTTTAATCTTTTGGAATTTACCTAATTCTGCGTACTTTGGTTTATTTTAACTATTTCCTTTATCAAAACATTAAGGAGAATAGTGATAAAACTTTAGCTATTTTTAGCTTTTAGCTAATAACGCTACAATAACTCTTTAGTTAAATGAGTTACTACAAAATCTAATTTCCCTCTGGGATCAATAGTTTTTTTTAATTGAATTGAATTGAATGTTTTGCTACAGTTATCAAGCAACTTAAATTTTTAGAGCAGCATTTTGCTACTTTTTGCAAACATTTTGCTACTTTTTGCTACCATTTTGCTAGTTTTAGCTAACATTTTGCTAGTTTTAGCTAACATTTCTCTAGTTTCAGCTAACGTTTAGCTAGTTTTAGCCAACATTTTGCTACTTTTTGCTAACGTTTAGCTAGTTTTAGCAAACATCTTGCTACTTTTTGCTAACATTTAGCTAGTTCTAGCAAACATTTTGCTAGTTTTAGCTAACATTTCTCTAGTTTTAGCTAAAATTTCTCTAGTTTCAGCTAACGTTTAGCTAGTTTTAGCAAACATTTTGCTACTTTTGCTAATGTTTAGCTAGTTTTAGCAAACATTTTGCCAGTTTTAGCTAACATTTTGCTAGTTTTAGCAGATATTTTGCTAGTTCTAGCAAATGTTTTACTAGTTTTAGCTAACATTTTGCTAGTTTTGGCTAATGTTTTGCTACGTTATGGTAAAGAATACTAGAATTTCACTACTTTAGTTCAATTTCAGTTTTGTCAGCAAAAGTCATTGAGCAATTAGCATTTTTACAGAAAATGCTGTTTCTCAGGTAATTTTTAAAKTCAAAGAAAAGCTTGAAAAAATTCTGAATTTTAAAATATGACGGTAAATCTTTAGGCAGAACATATAAATGATTTATCTTACAATCTGTTGTACTTTCTGGACATTTTAAAGGATCAGTGTAAATGTATTAATCTAGTCAGCATTCATACCTTTCTAAACGCTCCACAATACGTGTAAAGACAGCCATGGGGACCCGTCCTTTAGTTTTCCTGGACAGCTGCAGCACTTCTTCCCACGTGAGCTGTTCGCCCAGTGACGACAAATCGTTACACGTGTTCAGAACCAAGTACAGATCTCTCTCCTTCAAGCCTGGAATTAAAAAATGAGGGACYATTGAAGCAAGAAACTATGGATCAGTTTGAGTACTTTTCTTATGGATTGGTTCCGACACTTTGTCCATTTTGGAATTTCAAACTTTTTATTTTTGTCCACTTTTGAGGCAAAAAATGTTGGAAAGAGTGAAGAACACTTTGAAAAGCCCAAGTTAAACAGATAAAAATTAGTCYTTATGTCTGAAAACTGGCACATTTACAGAGTAAACTCAAGTCTCAATGTGCTCTTTCTATTTTAAATGAAATAAATAACCAAACAAATTAGTGTCCATTATTTTTTTTTTTATACAAAAGCAACTTTACAATTCCCACCTGAGTGGCTGACAGCAAGAACGGCGAGGGCCAAGCGGAATCCCAGCATGCCTCTGTACTCGGAGCAGAGTCTCTCCAGGCTGAACTGGACCAGTTGGCTCAGAGACTGAGGCAAATCCTGCAGGTTCTCCTTCAGCTGAGACACAAAAAACACTCTGATCTCAACCGTACAAGACGAGTTACATCGATAAAGCAGCAGAATTTTTACAAGTTACAYAAACAATACAGGAGTTTGGTTTCTATCAGCAGCAGTAAGTCACTCATGGATGGTTGGATATAACAACTTATTCACTCAAGCTGCAGCCAACTGGTGTGAAATTTTTTCAAAAAAAAAGTAATTTCACACCTTGTCAAAGGAGGCGAAGTTTCTCAGGTCCTCACAAGCCAGGTGCAGATAGAGAGGACTCGCCGCTCCTTTCTTTGTTATTAACGTCTGGAGCTGCACACACAGAGTTCAAGTTAAAACAGAAACATTTTAAGGGTCCAGAGGAAACTCAAGACCAGGAGTCAGAAGAAGAACCTGGTTGTTGAACGCAGAGTCGCTGAGCTTCTTCCCAAAGACGCCCAGCTCCTTCTGAACGATCTCCTTCCGGTCCGGCAGGGTGAGCTGTCCCAGGGAGAACAGGACCGTCCCGATTCTCACGGTCAGAGTTTTTAACAGAGCTGATTTGGTCCTGATGCTCAGCACCAAACACACACCCTGACAGAAAAACAAACTGAATCAGCTTTTATTTGTTTTATTTATGAACCTTTAATTCTCTTGTCACTGACTTGTGGRAGCAGCTGAGGGATCCAATCAGAGCTGAGCTGTCCTCTGCTGTCCYGAAGGAGGTCCACTCCATCAACCAACACCAGCAGAGGTTTCTTCATTTCTCTCAGGATGGAGTGAAACTCTGACAGCAAGTCTCTGTTGGTAAAAAATAAAATAAAACCGTTAAAACAACCGTAAACCACGATAGTACAGAAACCTAATAATGTAAACATGTCCTACTTGTACGTGTGTGGAAAAGGTGGTTCTTCTTCTGCTGCTTTTATTTTCCTCAGCCACTGCAAGAGGCACCGAAGGAGGTTTTCCACCGAGCGTGCTGATTGGCTGGCAGCTGTAGAGTAGGAGATGACATCACAGTGGCTTTTTCTTTTGGATTTCCCTCCATTTCTAAGCTTCTCTGCAAGAGCAGCCTGAAAAAAGAGAGAATTCTGCTTCAGCATATTTACAATTTTTTGTTTTCTCACTCTACTTTTAGCTTTACTTTAGCCTATTGCTGCCTAAAGTTGTCCTGTAGATGCCTTTAGCAAGCCCATTGGCACTTGTAGCTGTTACTGCCTTTAGATAGTCTACTACTGCCTTTAGCTAGCCTGCTGCTGACTTTAGCTAGCCTGCTGCTGACTTTAGCTAGCCTTCTACTACCTTTAGCTAATCTGTTGACGCCTTTAGCTAGCCTGCTGCTGACTTTAGCTAGCCTTCTACTACCTTTAGCTAATCTGTTGATGCCTTTAACTAGCCTGCTACTGCCTTTAGCTAGCCTGCTGCTGACTTTAGCTAGCCTTCAACTACCTTTAGCTAATCTGTTGATGCCTTTAACTAGCCTGCTACTGCCTTTAGCTAGCCTGCTACTGCCTTTAGCTAGCCTGTTGCTGACTTTAGCTAGCCTGCTGCTGACTTTAGCTAGCCTGCTGCTGACTTTAGCTAATCTGTTGATGCCTTTAACTAGCCTGCTGCTGCCTTTAGCTAGCCTGCTGCTGCCTTTAGCTAGCCTGCTGCTGACTTTAGCTAATCTGTTGATGCTTTTAACTAGCCTGCTACTGACTTTAGCTAACCTGCTACTACCTTTAGCTAATCTGTTGATGCCTTTAACTAGCCTGCTACTGCCTTTAGCTAGCATGCTACTGCCTTTAGCTAATCTGTTGATGCTTTTAACTAGCCTGCTGCTGACTTAAGCTAATCTAACTAGCTTTAGCTGATCTGTTGATGCCTTTAGCCAGCCTGCTACTGCCTTTAACTTGCGTGTTACTGCCTTTAGCGATCTAGACTAGCCGTTAGCTCATCAACCTGATTAAAATAAACCATAATGATCTACAACAGGTAAGTTATTGACATTTCCTATCTTCCAACAAACTCCACTTTAAAGTGATAGATTTTGTAATGTGAATATGATTTCAAACAAACTGAGGGCAAAGATTTACCATGAAGACAGTTTTTCCGTCTCCAGCTGCCCCCTCTACCACCATCACCCCTCCTTTGATTTTGACTTTATCCACCACCTCCACAGCAGCTGAGAGAAGCTTAGCCCTGCCGAAGAACTGCCTCTGCAGCGCCGCCTGATGGACTTCCTGCTCAAACGTCTCAGACGCAGCCTCGTCCTCCTCGCTTTCCTGACAAACGGGGAAAAAAAATCAACTCAAAGTGGATTTAAACATCTGTGAGACTACAGAAATGTTGCAGTTTATTTTTGAAGAAATTAACTTTTTTATAATTGACTGAGAGATACTGACTTCCACAAACAGCTTCTGCACAGCCATCCAGAGATCCTCCAGCACAGCTTTTCCAAACTCCTCCAGGTTTTTCAGATATGGTTTTCCTTCCTTCACGCCTCCCCACTCACATAAATAACTGCAAGATTGATGCAGGTGTGTTTAGGCTTTTATAAAGCAATTAATATTAGGACATAATAACAGTCCAGTTTCTTTAAAACGTCTGTCAGAAGTCCTGAAATACACGCTGACTCACTTTTCAGTGACTTTGACTTTCCAGTCATAAATTCTTTTCTTCAAAGACAACAATTTGTCCGCAGCCTCTTTTGATTCTGCAGCAAAATCTGATCTCCAAGCTACAGGAATCGATCTGAACAAATAATAAATATTAGTTACAAGAACTCAGCAATCAAATTACCTTTTATTTAAAAAAATGCACATATTATAGGATTCAGTTATTGGATTTTCTGCGTACTTGATGATGTTTGGATCTCTGAAGTAGCAGAACATTCGCTGCGGTGTCGTGTCGGGATACAGAGCCTGAAACTGACGGATCTCCATCTCAGTGATGGACATGGCATCCGGAGCAGAGGCCATCTAAATATAAAGAACAAACAAGATTCCTTCAGAGCTTTAAAAAAATAAATGTAAAATATGACAGAGTCACAGATCAGTAATCTTACCCAGCTGTACTGTGGCAGGTCAGGAAGAACAGGTCTGGGGGGCACCTGGCCGTACCGCTCGCCCAGAATCCCCACCATCAACTGACTGCGACACACCTCTGAMAGACACAGCTCGGCGGCTCGCTCAGACTCCTCCTCCGTCACGCCCCAGCGCAGCTCCACCTCCTGCAGGTGGAGGCGGTGTGCCGCGGCGCGACGGCGGAGCTCCGGGAAGACGCTCTGCACCAGGACGTCCCGCTCGGCGTGCATGTCTCTGAAGGTGGAGGAGACGAAGACTCGGACTCCTCTCCACCTGTGGACAGAAGTGTCAAAGTGGTGATTTAATTATTTCACTAGAGAAAGTGTAGTTTTACTGCTAAATTTACCTTAATTTGGGGCTGGGTGGCATCGAAACAAGTTTGTTAGAAGTTTGTAGTTCTTTAGAACCGTCCGGTGGGATGTTGTACAGTTTGTCCAGGTGGTCCACGTGATCCAGCAGCCTGGAAGAACCTCGCTCTGCAACAAATCTGGACAAGTTTATGAAGAAAAACAAGTTGGAGAAATTTTCGGTTAAAACTAGACTTATTTTCAGGCAGATTACCATTTCCATTTAGTTACTTTGGTTAAAAAAATCATCAAAAAAATGCACAAGAGCTCCTTGAAGTTTTCAAGTTATTATAACCTGAAAAAAAAWTTACATTTAAAATGCCTTGCAATTCATATTAATAGAGAAAATGTAATTTGCAAAAGATATGTGACAGCTGAAGTTTGTTGGAAGCTAAAAGTATAGAAATGCTAAGAGACTAACGGCAGCAGAAGGCTAGCTAAAGGCAGTAAGAGAGCTTTAAAAGCAGCAGCCGACTAGCTTAAGGCAGCAAAAAAAGCAAAAAAATAAAAATAAATAAAACTCACTAAAGCAAGTAACAAGCTAGCTAAAAGCTTTAAGGCAGCTTAAGGGTTGCAAGAGCCAAAAGGCAGCAGTAGATTAGCCAGGAGCTTTAAATCAGCAAGACTTGATAAAGGTTAGCTAAAGGCAGCAACAAGCTAGCTGAAAGCCTAAAGGCAGCTTGAGGGTTGCAAGAGCCAAAAGGCCAGCAGTGAACTAGCTAAGAGCTTTAAAGCAGCAACAGACTTGACAAAGGCTAGCTAAAAGGAAGCAACAAGCTAGCTGAAAGCCTAATGGCAGCAGCAAACCAGCTAAATGCAGCTTGAGGGTTGCAGGAGCCTAAAATGTAGCAGAAGGCTAGCTAAACCCAGAAGCAGGATTGTAAAGAACTTTAAAGCAAATACAGACTTGCAAAAACTGTCCATCTTACCAAGTTTTAAAACCTTAATATCAGCCAAAAAGTCTTTTTGATCTTGTTTTGAGACTGATTTACTAAACAAGAACTGATTGTGTAAGAATAATCATCTTGTTTTCAGAATGTGTAAGATTATTTGTCTTGTTAGCCTAAAAATTTGACTCAAATTAAGTCAAAAATTTCTGCCAATGGAGTAAGAAAATTTTACTTGGTAAGATTCTTGAAATACTATATTTGACTCATTTTTTTCTTATTTCAAGAATCTTACCAAGTAAAATTTTCTTACTCCATGGCAGAAATTTTTGACTTAATTTGAGTCAAATTTTTAGGCTAACAAGACAAATAATCTTACACATTCTGAAAACAAGATTATTATTCTTACACAATCAGTTCTTGTTTAGTAAATCAGTCTCAAAACAAGATCAAAAGACTTTTTGGCTGATATAAGATTTTAAAACTTGGTTAGGTGGATATTTTTTGCAGTGTAAAGGCATCAACAACATAGCTAAGAACTAACAGCAACTTTTTCCATCTATCTTTCCTTAATTTGAATAAGAAAATTTAAAGCTGCTCATAATCATAAATCTTTATTGAACAATAAATGCTTCACAGCACCACTAAGTTCAACAAGATCTACATTTGTAAAGTTTAAATCAGTTTTTTTTTTATTTTACCTCAGTGTTTGCTCACTGAAGCCTCGCAGGACAACACGGTTCCTGTTCTTGAACTGGGTGTCTTCTGACATTTGACAATAGCTAAACAGAACATTATGAGTTAATAACAGGCAGAGAAAACACAAAACAACCAGCGTTGTGTTCTAATTACTGTGACTGAAATCAATCCGATCAGAATATTACCCGGTTGACAAGAAGACATAACATTCCAGAGCATTGTTGTTTGCTTCTTTCTTGTAGTTGCTGATGCACCAACTCAATGTACTGTCAATCCAAGAATCAGCCAGCACAATAATGTTGTCGATCTGAGGAGAAAAAGAGTATTGGACTTGAAAAACGATAAGAAAATAATGATGCAGCAGCAACAGCAGCTCTGTTTTAAACCATTCAATGGCATTATTAACACAGAAACAACTTTAGGAGCTAAAGAGCTACAATTTAAAGGCAGTCTAATTACTGTTGCGATAATTAAATTAAGCTTTTTTACTTTAAGCAAAGGTGCATCTAATGTAAAAGGCATTTCATGACCAGGATTGCCAAAAAAGTAATAAAACGAATGCAAGATAAACTTACCTTGTTTTTCTTGGTGAACAATTTGAAACAGAAATCATCTTCGGCATCACCAGCTGTATTTTCAGAAAATGTCTGTGAACAAACAGAGTTCAACGATAAATCCAAAATCACATCTGCTAGTCTGACATTAATCTCCATTACGGGAATTTTCAATCCTGGTCCTCCAGGGGCCGCCAACCTTCATGTTTTTAGACACCAGTTTCAACAGGTATGGTCTATATAAGTGGAACTGCAATGCTTTGGTCTGAATTTATCCTTATTGTAACTTTACCAGCCCCGCTTTTCACCCCTTCTCTGAGGTTTGTCTCCGCAGCTCGTTTTGAGGCTGTCTCTTTAAATCCAAATGAGGCGCTTCACACCCCACTAGTTTGAGAATGGCATTTGCAAATGTCTTGAAGTACAGAAACATTTGATTTACAAATTAATTAAAAGATGTCAACAAGAGAAGACTTGTCCATCCAGCCTTACATGTTGGAGCCAGAGTCTGACCCAGAACCAGAGCAGAATGAAGACCACCAAACTGTAGTTGGCAAGTCCAGACCTTAATTGGCAGCTCTGTCACAAAAACTGTGACACAATAGTTCAGAAAATGGCATAGAAAATAGAGAAAACTGAATGAGTTGAAAAATATGACCCAAACAGAATATAAAGATATCTATGCAGCACCAGTAGAAACCAATTTCAGCTTTTATGCACTACTACAGACTCCAAGTATACAACAAAATGAATTTAATGGCTAAAAAGTGGATTTTGCATATGTCCCCTTAACATTGCAAGAGACAGCGATAGGCTAGCTCAAGGCAGCAAAAAGCTAGCTAAGAGCTTTATAGCAGCAACAGACTCACTAAGGCAGTGACAGGGTAGCTAAAGGCAGCACAAGGCTAGCTCAAGGCAGCAAAAACCAAGCCCAAGGGAGGGACAGGCTAGCAAAGGGCAGCGACAGACTAGCTAAAGGCAGCGACAAGCTAGCTAAGAGCTTTAAAGCAGCAACAGACTCACTAAGGCAGCGACAGGGTAACTAAAGGCAGCAATAGACTAGCTAAAGGCAGCAACAGGCTAGCTAAAGTCACCGACAGGCTAGCTGAAGGCTGCGACAGGCTAGCTATGAGCTTTAGAGCAGCAAAAGACTCACTAAGGCAGCAACAGGGTAACTTAAGGCAGTGACAGGCTAGCTCAAGGGAGCCACAGGCTAGCAAAGGGCAGCGACAGACTCACTAAGGCAGCGGCAGGGTAACTTAAGGCAGTGACAGGCTAGCTGAAGTCACCAACAGGCTAGCTGAAGGCTGCGACAGGTTAGCTAAGAGCTTTAAAGCAGCAAAAGACTCACTAAGGCAGCGACAGGGTAACTTAAAGCAGTGACAGGCTAGCTAAATGCAGTGACAGGCTAGCTCAAGGGAGCGACAGGCTAGCTAAAGGCAGCGACAAACTAGCTAAGAGCTTTAGAGCAGCAACAGACTCACTAAGACAGTGACAGGGTAGCTAAAGGCAGAGACAGGCTAGCTAAAGGCAGGGACAAGCTAGATAAATGCAGCAGCAAGCTAGCTAAGAGCTTTAGAGCAGCAACAGACTCACTAAGGCAGCGACAGGCTACCTAAAGGCAGCTACAAGCAAAATAAAGACAGCGACAAGCTAGCTAAAGACAGCGACAAGCTAGCTAAAGACAGCGACAAGCTAGCTAAAGACAGCGACAAGCTAGCTAAATACAGCGACAGGCTAGCTAAATACAGCGACAGGCTAGCTAAATGCAGCGACAGGCTAGCTAAAGGCAGCGACAGGCTAGCTAAAGGCAGTGACAGGCTAGCTAAAGGCAGCGACAAGCTAACTAAGAGACCAGCAATAGACTCACTAAGGCAACAACAACATACTGTAGCTAAAAGCAGGACGCTGTCTATGGTCCTGAATCTTTCTTGAACAATAAATGCTTCAAAGCACCACTAAGTTCAACATGCTCTACATGCATTAAAGCATCATTTCCAACACTCTGCTGCACATGTTCTGGTAATCAAAAAAAAWATATTAAATGCAAATTGAACAAGAGGACAATGCAGACCTTCACTTCCTTCATCAGAGTTTTGACGTTGTCCAAAAGGACGTCAGTCTTCAGCTGGACTTCCTTACGGCGGCCGTGCACGGACAAGCAAAGCTGATAATCTTCAGCGCTGCTGCTGATCATCAGAGCGAGCAAAGCTGCCACCTCCATCCTCTGAAAAGGTTTAAAAAAAAACACAAAGAGACGTCAGAYGATGGCGCAGTTTCCTCTGCGATAATATGAACACAAACTCACAGTAGGAGTGAGGGGGTCGTGCTCTTCCTCCTGCGTCTTCCTCCTTCTGGTTGAAGCTTCTCCCTCCTCCTCCTCCTCCTTGTCCTCGTCCTCTTTCTGTTCGGGTTCTACAGGGAGACAGAAGTCCTGCTTCCTGCTCCAGGACACGTCGGTCGACATGTTACAACCGAGTATGATGACGGTTTTTCCCGGTAGGGGGGGCACGTTGTAGCGGCAGGAGATCTGAACCGCCGTCTCCAGAGCTCGGCAGTAACGGTCCAACAGATCAACCGTGTACAGCCTCTGACTTCAAACACAGACCAGGTATAAAGTCAACACTTTGACTCAAACCGATATTTCATTCTTCAGTTTGTCATCAGTGCTAACAGTCATGCTGACAAAATGTGATATTTTGCTGACAGATGAATGAACACAAACACGGACAGGTGAAAAACTGAAAAGCAAATAAAATCTCGTCTTACTTGGCTTTTATGAGTTGGGCTTTTCTCGTTTTGTACATTCGATAAATAAAGGGCACGCGAAGCGATGTCTTCAACCTTCTCCTCGTGGTCGTCTCCCACTTCATATTCCTGAAGCGTGGGCTCTTTGGGACCTTCTTCAGGATGCTCACCAGGATTTCCTTTACAGAAGGGATCGCCTGCTGCGACACAGAGGCTGAAAGGACAAAGAAGCAGATTTCCTACAAAGAYTTCAAGCATTGATTCAAAACAAAACTAGCTTTTCTGCCATGTGATAAATCATCACATTTAAACAAACTACATCTCATTATGAAGCTTTTAGGTGGAGAATTTGAATTTGAATTCCCACACTTTGGTCAACATCAAATTCAAGGACCTTTCAAGGACTTTCCAGTACCAATTTCCTCAAATTCAAGAACCACACGTGATGGCAATTACCTACTGCTACTGCAGAATGTTACCAATAAACGTAAATTCAATGAAAAACTGAACAACCTAGAAATTACTGAGTCAGAATCAATGAAAGAAGGTGGATTAAACGTACACCCTATATTCATATCTACAATACATGGACATGTAATTATGTCCTGGGAGGTTCTGCAGCTCAGTTTGGGAGGAGGWGATGTGAACATGTCCAGATGCTCAGTGAGAACAGGAGGAGGAGCTGTRGTGCTCTCACCTGGGCTCAGAAAGAAAGACCCGCCCTACTCTGCTCTGATTGGCTAAAACTATGACTATGTGTCACGTTATTTGTTGAAAGCCACGTCAGTTTACCGTAATCCTGTTATCCATGCGACAAAYGCTTGTTTTGGCTGTTTTCACAAACTTTCCAAGGTCTTGAAATCGTTTTTYCAAACTCACAAACTTTCAAGAATTTGAAGGACCCGTGGGAACCCTGATTTGAAAATAACTCAATACTGAACAGTTTCAACAGAACAGATCGCATTCTTGAAAAGCTGYACTCGACTGGAGCCACAGATCGGAGCCTCAGCGCCTCCGTCTCTCCGACTTATCCGACGCATCTCACCCAAAGCGCGAAGCTCCATGACGACTTTGTAAGCGGCGAGGAATCTGAAGGGAAACTGTCGGCTCTGGACGACGGCTTTCTGCGAGAACATGAACAGAACAGCGTGAGCTCTGCTGCACGTCTATGATTTACAATAAAGCTCCTAAAGCAGCAGTGTTGGTCTCACCTGATTGGTCAACCTGCTGAGGATCTTCCTGTGATGAGCCTCGCTGATTCCTTTACTGATCATGTTCCTCAGGTTCCTCAGCATGGCCATGAACGGCAGAGATTTACTGTCTGTGTATCAGAGGCAGCATCTGTCAGCTTCTGTCAACATGAACAGGGTTACTGAGTCGAGTCGAGAGTTTCCTGTCAGACCTATGAGCTTCTCCCAGGTGGCGGCCTTGTTGCCCTCCATGCTGAGCAGCCGCTCCCACGTCTGCGGCTCTTTCAGTTTGATTCGCTGCCCGGCTCGCTCTCTGTCCCACGAGCCTTTCAGTCCACTACGGGCGAACGCCTTGGCGTCGCTGGGATACCTGCAGAAAAACACAAACTYAGCGTTTACAAGTTTGAAAACTGTGACATCTGTACTGAAAATTAAAATGGCCACGGGGAAAGCGAGGGTTAGATTTATTTGTTTAATAAGAACGTTTTAACACTAGATTTGAGCTGGGTTTCAGTGTTGTGGAAAAGTCTTCAGTCATCCCTCTTTGTTATATTTTGCTTCGAAGAAACCAAATGGTTGAATGAAGTGGGAGATYGATCAACTGACTGGGGACTCATCATGAGTAATGAGGGYGTTGCTTCGGTCGGTCGTGGTGAAGAAAGAACTGAGTCGAAAGGTGAAGCTCTCAGTTTACTGGTCCGTCTACGTTCCAACTCTCACCTGTGGTCATGAGGTTTGGAACAAGACTGAAAGAACAAGATCCTGAAGACATWGGGTGGATGGGTTCAGCCTTAGAAATGTGGGAGGAGCCTCGTCTTTAGAGGTGAGCTCAGAGTAGAGCTGCTGCAGAGCCAGAACTCGCTGGAAAGATTATAGAAGTCCTCTCTGGTCTTGGAMCAACTTGAGGTCCACCAGGTGGAGCTGGAGTGTGTCACTGAGGACAGGGAGGTCTCTTGGACCTGTTGCCTCTGTGACRCATCAGGWATAAGAAATAAAAGATGGAGACGAAGAGAGAGAAACCCCACAAACGGACCAGTAACTTCATGAGTGTATGTATTTGTACAGTTTTGTAAAAATAAACATGAAAAAGTTTGGTTTCATTCCATGGATGTTTTATCTTGTTTTTACACAATATAGTGTATTATGAAATATGCACATATTTTAGGCAAATCATTAAAAAACATTTCAGTAAAAAAAGAGATAAATTTGTAAGATAGTAGACTAAAGTTACACTTTCAACAAGCTGAAGTAAAACCAGCAGCATCTAGACGTCATAATCGTGAGGTTTTCTGTGTTTTTATGGGTCTTACTTTCGTCCCAGGATAGCCATTACGAGTTCCGCCGGTTCTTTAATGTGAAGCTTGTGGATCAACTTCTTCATACTGAACTCGCTCTGCTTTTTGTCCACCACTGGTCTGTCTACATCAKTCTGCAGCTGCACACAGAAACCACCGCAAGGGTTTAAACGAGAGCAATAAATAAAAATGATAAAAAGAAAAAAAACAGCTGATATTTAAATACAGTGCTAAAAAAGGCAAAAAGAAAATGTCGCTAAAACCTGTAGCTAAAAAAATCAAACAACATGGTAAAAACACAGTAAATGGACGGAACTTATAGAGTGCTTTATCAAGTCCCTCCAGACCTCAAAGCGCTTTACACTTAGACATTCACCCATTCACACTCACACAATGATGATCGTAAGCTACAATGTAGCCACAGCTGCCCTGGGGTACACTGACAGAGGTGGGGCTGCCATGCACCGGCCCCACCAAACCCTCTGACCACCATCAGTAGACAAGGTGGGTGAAGTATCTTGCCCAAGGACACGACTGAGACGGCTGGACCAGTGGATCGAACCGGTTACGACTCCCCTAACAACTCCACCACAGCCGCTGCATTTTAGCTAAAATTAACTGTTAGCTAAAAAAGCAAAAAAAAAAAGATAGCTAAAATGAACATCAATAACTAAACAAGCAAAATATTTAGCGAAATTAAAAAAAGATAAAACCACTGTTAAATAAAACCTCTGGCTAAAAAAAAGCAAATAAATGTAGCAAAAATATATCCCATAGCTAAAAGAAAATCAGAATTACGTAGCTAAATCTGCAACATGCAGTTTAAAAAAGGGGGGGGGG